CCCTTCATCAGAGAAGCCTACTCTGAAAGGGCCCGCCTGATGATGGACAATGACTCCAAGCACAACATTAGGTACGCGAGTGACCTCATGAGGGATAATGGAATTACCTGGTGGAGGAGGCCTGCAGAGTCGCCTGATGCTAACCCAATCGAGCACATCCGGGAGACCATGAAGGTTTACATGAGGGTATGTAATATTTACTTGTCCTAACATTAAATAAAAATCCACCTATACAGCCTTATACATGTACTCATAGTGCCCTACTGAAGACATCATGGTGAATAAGAAATATGCATTAAATATTTAATGAATAGAAGAAAAGTTCAACTACATGTATAAACTTTATTGAAGTATATGTATGAATTTGTATAAATGTATATGAACATTTAACGTTGTCATGGTGAAGAGTATAGTAATTTCTTACGGAGTCTTGTCTTTTTCACATTTGCAGCATGTGAAGCCGAGGATCAAGGAGGAACTGATACATGGACTGAAAACCTACTGGACGACCCAACTGACCAGCAAAAGAATCAAGCGCCATCTGGACAATGTGTACCACATCTTCCCTGAGATCATCCAGAAATGGCAGAGGGGTGGCAGGACAGAGTACTAAAGGTTCTTCGGGTAGAATTGGCAATGCCGACGAGACACCCCTTACTTTGCTCTCCAGCAAAGGCCTCGATCAGCGTGACAACTACCAGCCATGAGAAGGACCGCTTCATGGTTATGCTGTCCTGTACAGCTGACGGGGGAAAGCTGCCGCCGTATGTCATCTTTAAACGCAAGATGATTCCTAAGGGGAACTATCCGCTGGGAGTCATCGTGAGGGCTCAGGTGAAGGGCTGGATGGACCAGAACCTCAATGAAGACTGGCTGAAAGTCGTTTGGGGTCAGCGGGTTGGCAGGCTTTCACACAGACGCAGCATGCATGTGCTGGATGCTTTCAGGTGCCACAACTCCACACCGACGAAGGAGCTGCTTAGGAAGACAAACACAGACCTGGTCATGATTCCGGGAGGGATGACATCAATTCTCCAGCCGCTAGACGTCGGTGTCAAAAAGGGTGGGAGGATGAGGAATGTTAAATTGTATATATTTTGTATGTGATTTTTTTTTAATGTATGCACAGACTTGCGGAAGAACAGCCATTGGTTGAAGCAAGTGATCAGTTTTGAAACAAAATAAAACGAAATGAAATGAAAGTTGAGGTACAAACGATCTGCGGGTGGATCGCCAAGGTGTGGCAGGATCCGTCACCAAACACCAACAAAAGAGCATTCTGGAAGTGCTGCATCTCAAACTCTCTTGACGGCTGTGGGAGGACAAATTTCATGGCTTTTAGCTTTGAAAATCATTACCCAAACGGTCTTTTTCAAGGCCACCAAACCTTCGAGAAAGAATAAGAATATGCATATTGCCAACAAAACTCAATGAAATATATTAGAATATATGAAACATGACAAAACATGAACATGAACCTCCATTTCCGGCATTATTTCCAGCAGTGACCCGTTGCTGCATAGCCAAACAATCCAACTCCTCATCTGCCTACAAAGTTTTGCGAGAAGCTGGATTCCTAACGCTGCCTCATGAGAGCATTTTAAAAAGATAATCTAATTACACAGATGCTGCTGTAGGCATCCAGTATGATATAACTGAAACAATGATCGACGATATAGATTTGAGCAAGCCACATAACGCAATTCAACTGATCTTTAATAGACGAGACGAAAATCAAATCAGGACTTGTTCACTCATCATCATCAGGACATCTCATGGGGTTTACGGATGTGGGAGAAATAAATAATGAAACTCATGACTTCAGAAGTAGGCTCCAATCTGAGGAGGGCAAAGAAGCAGAACAGCTTGCCACCCATGCATTCACTGTAATGGTGCGTGGCATATTTCAATATTACAAAGACCAAAAACAATGTCAAAGATATTTCAATGCTCATTTCTGTTATATCATTACGTTTATTATTTATTGTCTGTCATTGTTTATATTATGTGAAAAGAAATAAAAAATAAATTCGCTCTGTATAGAGCTTCTACTACTACTACTACTACTACTATTTCAAAACTGTCATCGACCTGTTGCATTTTTCCCTTCATGTGCGTTGAACAGTAGTTATATATATGAAACTGTTTGGCATGTTGTTTCTGTGTTGGAAACCAGAGGGATTATTGCAGATGGATTATTGCAGATGGAGCATTGCTGAACAGGAATTTTTTTTAATGTAGTGCCTCCCCAGATTGTGGCATTCACTTCTGGGCTGTTAACCCTTGCAAAGGATATACTTTTTTGTGACATTCCACACATGATGAAGACAACATGTAACAACCTTGAAAATTCAGGCTTTGCGAGGAAGAGCAGTAATTTGAGGGCGAGTATATGTGATTAATGTACACATTTCCAGTAGCTTCATACACCGACAGTTCCAAAAAGCTGAATTTCAAAAAAAAGTTATAAAAATGGCATTAAAAAATCAATTTCGGTTCCAAAAGGTACTACATCCATTGGGAGTTGACCAATCAGAGAGCAGTATTGACTCTTGACCTGGCATTGATTAGGCTATAATAATAATGAATATGCATGGCATTGGCAGTATATGGAAATATGTCGGGTGGCTTTTGTCACTTTTCAGTGATATTAAAGATATTTCTCTTTTTTTTTTTTACTTTAGACAATACAGAACCTCCTTATTGTAGCATATTAAGTGACATTAATGGTAATTTTCTAAAATTCATGTGGAAAGAAACAGTACTTACATTATTGTAGAAAAATATGAAATATTTGAAATTGAATATAATACTACACTCTGACCATAAGAAAATGTAAGTGTGATATTATTTATAGCTCACTTATTTGCATGCTGTTGATAATTATGGATAATATTATGGATATCATTGTTTCATGATATAATGCCGATCATAAAAATGTTGTAACTTTGATATTCCACATCCAATTGAAACTTGTAATGCTACGCTTGTCAAAATTTGTTGAGTTTAAGTTATATTTTGTGTGGATTTCGATGTACAGCTTAACGATGCAAGTGTAGAGTTATTCAGTTATACATGATGTTGTTAAATAATGTGGGGTAAAGTTTTATTTTCATCATAATTTGTTTTTATTATTCATCTTGATATATATTAGGTAGGAGGGTGTGTGACAACCGACGAATATTCAAGACGATCGCTTCAGATCGAAGGGGCGGGGGGCCGAATCGAGGTGGTGATGTGGGGAGAGGCGGCAGTGAGGGAGTATACAATCTCCAAGAAGGTTACATTCACTGCCTTGATTAAAGAGGAGAGGAGATTGTCGTCTACTCCTTCTACCAGCGTTGAGGTAGGTTTTGCTATAGTTGGATAGTTAATCTTTATTTCTTTCGGTAAAAAATACATGTTCTGTAGAGGAAAAGTCTAATTAAATGTGACATTTACATTTACCCCAAAAAAAGTTTTAAAAATGGCATTTAAAAATTACTTCGGTTCCAAAAGGTACTACATCCATTGGGAGTTGACCAATCAGAGAGCAGTATTGACTCTTGACCTTGCATTGACCTTCATCTGCATGACAATAGGGGTTGGGCTTTTTGCTTTTCAGCTGTCTGCTCAGTCTACAACACATATCTGGCGAATTAAAAAAATTTTGAAAAACTGATTACACTTTGAACAAGAAATTGGCCTGACAGCAGCATACACCGACGATGCCACACGAACCCTTCTCCAGAAGATCACTGCGATTCCTCCCAATCAACGAAGTGGTACCAACATTCAAACTGCTTCGGCAGCAGAGCAATACGCCACTACTAGATGAGGTAAACGGGCAAAAGAGGGGGGGGGGGAGCATGGTGCTCCACAACACAAAACCACGTTCCCTCGCCAAAAGCATAGGCGTGCAATGAGGGAGTCGACATCGAAGGACAGGGGAGGGGGGGGGGGGGAGGGCGGGGGGGGGGGGGTCTCCAAAATGCCACCTTTCCTTAGGCTCACTTTGGCCTTAGATCTGCGTTGCCATTTGATGGGTGCACCAAGTTTGGGGGTGGGACAACCCAAAAAGAGAGGGAGTAGTCAGGTGGTAGGGTGGGATGTTAGAATCCAACCATGCTTGTTTGTCTCGTTTCGATCAGAAGGAAAGGGTCACTCCAGCCCTACGCTGAAGTGGGGTAAAGGAAGCCCGAGGCGTGGACTCCAAATACAATGGCCCAAGAAGACATTTAGAACGACAAATTCTGGATGAATGGCCATACGGCGCCTGTTGGGGCTTCGAATGTCTACGGCAGATCAATCAGGACAAACAACTGTGCCGAAGGGTACAATAATCGCCTCACCATTAGGGCTGGCAGCAAAAGCATGGGGCCATACCAGCTGGCAGCACTGCTATACAGAGAAGCCAAGCTGGTGGACCTGACCGTCAGGCTGATGAATCGTCACCTTATCACCAGGAGGCAACGGCAGCTGACGAGGAATCTCCAAGCCTGCATTTTCAGAGCATGGGAGTCCCACAGGAATGGAAAGATGACAACACATGATCTCCCGAGGGTCAGTACTGTAACCTATGGGCAAGCACCGTAGATCTGTAATATTCAAACCTTTCATCGTAAGAGGTAGACAACCCCCTATCCATTCAGGTAAAAAATGTTGATTGGCATTACGGTATATAACACACACCTGTGAAAATGTATTATTTATATTGTGTCAGTACATGTATATGTCAATTTGTATATTATGTAAATATGTATATCATATAAATGTGTATATTATGAAAATATATATCTTGTAAATATGCATTGAATTGATATTGTTTTGGTGTATCATTTAATGTATGCACTTTTTAATGTATTCCCCCTCCCTTCCCTTCTTCCTTTTTTTTGTTTTCTTCTTTTGTATTGGTGTTTAGATTTTCTCTGCTTTCCTTTTCCTTTTTTCTTTTCTCAACAAAACAGAATACTTTTTAAGGGGTTGATGTTCATAAGGCTAATTGCCTTTTGTTAACCCCACATTCCCATAAAATGTTGTTTGCTCCTTCCCTTTGCATTTTTCTTGTAATCGATCTTTTATCTGTATAGCATGTTTGTATGTTTTAATGTTTTTTATGGAGAATGAAATAAAGAAATAAATAAAAAATTAACAAGTAACTGCTGCCCCTTGAACTTATTATGACTTGTTCATGAATATGAAACTTTACTTGACACGGTCAAACATATCAAAGATGAGAAAAGGGGGGGGGGAGTAAGAAATGGTAGGCGTAGACGGGTAGAACTACCTACCAGACCTCATTCTCAGTGCGGGAGCCGGGGGACCATGTGACGTGATTAACCCCACCCCACTGTAGTATGGGATAACAACCCCAAGAAGCTGATGAAGGCCTGGAAAGGCAAAGTACTGATATACGCGCCTATTATACCGGCGGTCGAAGCGAGGTTTGAGCCTTCATCGGTTAAACTTTTTGGCTTCATGCATGGTGCAAGAGGCACTTGGTGCCCGCTGAGCGATGAAGTCGCCAAGACTGTCGGCCTGAGTAATACAGGCATCAGCATGGTACTACAAAAAGTAGTATGCGATACCATCAGGATGGTAAAGGCCTTTATGGTCCGATGAGCTATGCCTCCCCAGACGGATAAATAATAATAATACAGACATATATAACACGCAACATATCCACCCAGAGGGTGCTCAAGGCACTTACAATGAGCTACATGATATACTTAGATACAATTTTGCTTACAATACATTATACATGGTTTAAAAAAAAAAGATGATATTAGTTAATGTTGGCCATTAGATAAGTTTTCAGGCTGGCCTTGAAACTATTGATAAGACTGCAATAATGTAATAGACCGACAGAGTCGGCACGATATGTTACAATGAATTGTTCAATATGATACCATGTCCTTAGCTATTAAAGAACGAGCCAAAAGCCTTGGCGTAATACAATGTAATGTAGGGTCGGAATATGTCATGACCCAAACTGCCAATGGATAAATATGTGACCATATCCACAGGGAAAAGTTCGGCGGCAAAACAATGCAATATAATAGGGTCAGATTAGGCTATGGCCAAAACTGCCAAGGGATAATTATGTAACCATATCCCAGGGATTAAGGAGCCGACAAGTTCAGCGGTAATACTATGTAATTTCGGGTCGGAATATGTTAAGACCCAAACCGCAAATAACCAGTACATGTATTTCCTTCCTTTTTTTCTTAAATTCGTCCATCCATCCAAAAAATAAACAGTCGTTTGCAGCATAAGCGCACTGACCTGGTGGTCTAGCCCATAGCGATTGGAAGGGGAGGAGTCCCGGGCTCCTCCAGCCAAAACCACGTTCCCAGCCAAAAAGCGTTAATGCTTAATTTGAGGTAGCCGAAATGGAAGGCCACGCCGTAAAAAGCCATAAAAAAACATTTTGGGGTGGGACAGCCCAAAAAATAGGGGGAATAGTTACGAAGTCGTTTAACACAGCTTAAATACAAAAACAATAAAGTCTTGGTTCAATGGATTCTCTCCCAATGCGGAACAGGACATGAATCCACGGACTGTCTCACCAAGACTGCTCTCAGGAAACATATAGAAATAATAAACTACCTCACACTTTCAGAAGCGTACAGAATTTTAGTAAAACATTTTATTGAACAATGGCAATTACGATGGCAGACCAGTTCTTACCACGCACTACCACGCACTACAAAATGATTCAAAGCTCGGTTTCACCGACCTATACTTGTAAATTTGTAAATTAGTGCGAGCAAAAGAAAAGATTACCCGTCGATTATAATTTGCATGTGTAGATCCAGCCAGAATGAGAATATACCCAACGGGACATTGCAATTCATGCCCCTAGATAGAAACTGTTGAACACTACTTGGCTAAATGCCCAAGATATATTATAGAAAGAGCTATGCTCCTTTCTGAAACAAATTGTATGAACCTTGACGAGATTCTAGGACTTTTAAAATCAGCATATTAAAAAATACAAAATGCAGTTCGATTCAATCAAAGAACGAAACATTTTGACCAAAAAATGAGCATCTTTAACGTGTTGCAGAAAACACAACCGAGTGTTGTTTTTAACAGTTGAAAGAAATTCAATATCCACAAAGGTTAGACATAAGTGTACAGTTTGTTATATGTTTTGTCTCTTCAAAATCATAAGTATAACCTATAAAAGGCGTATCATAATGAAAATAAGTCTTTTCCATATGTATTATGTATCATGCTTGTCTTGATAACTTTTCGGTTTTGTCAAGTACTTTTTTATTTCTATTATTATCTTATGATTAACACCAATTTCATTAAAAGCCCATATTTTGTTTGCTTATGCTTTTTGGCAGATATATTAATTTAGAAATAAAGATCAGTACATGTGTTATAAATGTTTGTTATTAAATTTCTTTTGATAGAAATGTGAGATTGCGTGAAACCAATTTCCTCAGAAAAGATCTTTCTATGATTCTCTTTGATTTTGTTATTCCTTTCCTTTCAAGTTCTAAGATATTGAGGTATCCCAAAGGGAGCCCCCTGTCTGCACCCTAGAGACATAGGAAACTTATTTCCAAGAAACCTTTATACAAAACAAGAGCAGGTTTGTCAGGACAGTGCCAATTTAGAACAGACAGTACTCTGTAACCTGGCATGATACTATTTTATCTTTAAAAAAAATATATAATTATTTAAAAGAAAAAAAAAGGGAAGTCAGTTGTATTGTTGCATATGATTTTTTACAATTTAAAAAACTGTTGGTGATAGTCAAAATTGACCAATTACCATCAAACACTAACCAACAACAACAACCCTCTGTTAGAGCAGAAACAAGACTCGTTATCACAGAATCATTCATATTGAAACCAGACAAACCTGTCAAGAGAGGCCACAGAATCAATTGCACACAAGTTTGACTGTACTTTGATAAAGGTATCTCTTGAAGTCTTCTGTAAGTGATCTAAACCTGGTGCCGTTTCTTGTGTCCAAAGGAGCATCTTTTCCAGGGCTTCATACCAATCTCCACACGAAGGCCACTGTTTTGATTGCATATGCATATAAATGTACTTGAATAAAAATGTACTTTGATGAAGATATCTCTGTCCTGGTGGGGTGTCCTGCATCATGTTCCCTGCTGATCTCTCTGCTCTCTGGCCATTCCACCCAGACATGGAGGGGACTTGGTGACCGTTGCATTGCTTGACCACTGCGATGGGGTCTTGGCCTGGAAGAGGAGAAGCGGTAGGAGAAGCGGTAGGAGAAGCGGTAGGAGAAGCGGTAGGAGAGAGAGAGAGAGAGAGAGAGAGAGAGAGAGAAAGAGGGAGAGAGAGAAAGAGAGAGGGAGAGGGAGAGAGAGAGAGAGAGAGGGGGGGAGAGAAAGAGAGAGAGAGAGATGGATATAAAGGGAGAGCATGAAATTCAACTCCTAAAAAATGATTTGAAATTGGCCATCAAATTGCGGTACATGACATGATTGGCTATATACTGCATGCTTGTACATGAAACATTATTTGGAGAGAATATGAACTTCTCAGTCCATCTATGTAAGTCTCCCAAAGTAGGCTCAACAATAAAGTACATTCAGTAAATGTTTTCCGTCCTAAAATAAGAAATTTGGGTCATTTTCAAAACTAAATTTCTTTTCCCGCTGTTTAAATGCTTTAAAGTAAACACACCAATATCATAAAGGGAGATGTGAATTAGTCTAGAGGCACGTGCACTTGGTCAGCTCTCTGTCTACGCCCACATACTGGCTCAGGGGGACACTGATTCGAAACTGAGTCGCGTCTTTTGGATGGTGACGTTAAAGGTCGATCCCAAAACGTAAATAATCATATCTGATCGATACACATCTGTAAAAACTCATGAAGGCCATGTGATTTTTTACATTTGACAATGGAACCTCGACACACCCCTTGGGACCAGTGAGATTATCTGTTATATAAGGGCTAAAAACGAAGAATACAAAGAAGCAGAGCAGCAAAATGCTTTGTTATAATGAGATTTTGTTTTATAAAAAAATTCCACTTTAAAAATCTAATTAAGTTTTCAAACTTTGGGCCTCACCTGTATTGACAAGGCATGTACCGGGCCTTCGAGCTCTGTCTTGAGAACCTCGTTCACCAAGCAATGGCGCTTTATCAGACTCTCCTTATCGAATGCTTCCGAGACCACTACCACCTTGAAATGTGTTTCCGAGCCACGTGGGACATTGTGCATGCTACTCTCGTTGATGACTTCCAAGTGAGTAGGCTGAGGGAAGAAGATGAAACCAAAAAGGATAATTCAAACTAAAATAAACCCTGTTATAGCACTTGCCTGTAAGCTGCCTAAATTCTCACATTACATCTTTTATTTTGTGGAGTTTAACAGATTGTCTTTCTTATGTAATCCATAACAGACTAATAAAAAGGGCAAGTGGTGTACTGCTTTTTTTATGATGAACAATATTAAAATGAATAATTACAAAATTATCTCATGAAATTGTATTCATAAACTCAAATCTGTAACCAAATTTGTTTCCAAATAAACTCATTACTCTTAATGAATTTTCATGAATGAAAGATAGTCGTAATTTGCTATTGATGTATTCACACCATCTAATTGAACTGTTAGTACTACTTCAATTTAGACCTTGGACTACAAAAGTGTTTCCATTGCAATAAATATCTTTTTAATAGGCCATCTCCGTAACATAACCAAATCTATGCACACATGCCTTTGTGAAGCGCCTCATACAAATTCTTTTGTTCACCTGTTACAAATGAATGTATCTCAACAGTCAGAATTTATATACATAATAGTTGTTGCTAGGAAGGACAATCATTATGGCTTGCCCTATCTAACAATAAATATATGTGATTTGCATTCTTACTATGATAATGCAATTATTCGTAAAAGGTGAATTGAATAATTTGTATCGAGGCATATCAGTATAAATTTGATTACATTACGAAAATGGCCTATTCAATTACCTTGACCAACTCACTTGAAATTTCTGCATGAGCTTGTCTTTGATACTGCTCTCTATGGATCCAGACTCTGATGCCATGGTCCTGGTCTTACTGGTGTGGATGGTCCTGATGCCGATAGCTGGACTAGGACCTGGAACTACTGAATCCTTTACCTTGCGGAGAGCGCTCTGCTTGGCCCACGCTCGCCTCACAATGATTGTTGCTCTTCCTACAAGAGTAATCAAGAAATACAAAAATTGATCATATGACAATCTGAATGCCAGCGAGGACAACGGTGTGATGGTATCTCTAATACAGGCTGAACATAGTAGTTCTATAGCAAAATAAGAGAAGACAATAGTGGCTTTCCCCTTTCGTTTTTATAAATAATTTTTTGGAGTAAAAACGAGAGACTAGTAATATACACTTTCTCACAGGATTCATAGCACACTGCTGCACAATACAATTGCATACTGTACCGACGGTGGGGTCCTGGTGCGAGTGCGTGCGTGCCTGAGGTTAGCGACTGTAATGATGAATTGCTTAAATTAATTTAATGAGATCTGAGATTACAGTCGCTAACTTCAGGAACGCATGTGCGCCTGAATCCCACCGTCGCTACGGTATGCAATTTTATTGTGCAGCAGTTTGCAATGAATCCCATGAGAAAGTGTTGTTTTTACTCAAAAAAAGATAAGAAAATAAGAACAAAAAACTGGTAAAAAACGACTTCAATCATGACCATTATTTGAACAATTGATGAAGATTTAGGCCTAGAAGAACTTCGCGCATTGAGCGCTGTAAAAACGAGTAGGTCTATACGGCTTCAGTTCAATGGCAAAGTCAATACGTAATATTACGTCACACCAGAGATTTTGACACGTCCTGCTTTAAACAGGTGACGCACTTCACACATAACTGATGCACACAAGGTACAAACGGTACAATTATTCTGAGATGTTCGTTGATTTTTCTATTTTATGTATCTCCACGCTGGAGTTACGGGTCAAATTTTGGATAGGTTTCTGAACAAGCGCCAAAGTTTTTCCTGCTAGGGCTAGGCCTAGACTCCTTGTTGATTTTTGGTATATTTTAGTAGGGTCAAAGTATGGATATGATTCTGAATTTGGGCCTAGGATTCTCTCATTGACAAGTTAAGAACTACGAATGTTCTCGTTCGTAGTTACTTTCATTTTGCCCGCAGCTGATCTAGCGTTGTTTTGCCACAAGCCAGCCAGGTTCCGACCGCGAGGCTTTCGACTGCCCATATCGGCGCTTGTTCAGAAACCTATCCAAAATGGGGATCTGAGACATTACGGTAGATAACTTCACACCGGCCCGCGCCCGCCCGCAACCCAATATCGGTATGTACTTGTATGGTGCAGCGGTTTGCCATGAAACCAGTGAAAAAGTGTATTCTAATATCAGCGTTTTTCCGAAAAATACTCCAAAATAATAAGAAAATTGACGCGAAACAGGTAGACTAATAGATCTAAACATAACAAATTTTAACTCATAATCTTTATTTTGACATTTCATGAATATTTACCTATTTTGGGTATGTTTTAGTAGGGTATCTCCACGCCGGAGTTATGGGTCAAATTTTGGATAGGTTTCTGAACAAGCGCCCCGATATCTACTTCGAATTCAGAGTTCGCCCACACCAAACTTTAAAATGAGTTAGTGGGACCGAAAGGTAATGTTTTTGCAGGACGCGAGTGCGCGAGATATCTCATTAAAAAGTAGAACATTTACATTGGATTATATCTAAATTTCATCCCTCATCTCTTATACATGCATATCATAATATTCCCACTAAATGAAGCGTTTAGTTACCTGAAATCATTAAAACCACGTTCCTTTTACGTCTCCTTGAGCTTTAGTTCAGCTGTAGACTCTAGCTATTTGAAGGGATTTCGGCTAGGCTATGGTGTCCTCAAAAGAAAATTAGAATTGTTCATTATCGCAGATTAAAGGGCTGGGTCGGGTCATAGTTTTTTTAGTTTTCTATATGATTGCTATTTAAATCGAATGATAACCCTTGCTCACGTGAAAATGTCACGAAAACATAACTAAGACACGAATAAATGGGTACAACAGCACGCGATGAGGACTTGTCTTGCAGTGACAGGAGCCAGCATTCGGCCTATTCAATCAGAAAATAAGTGAGATTACAAATAAGCAACCAATACGCATGGCGAAAATGGAAGAAAAGATAGCCAATCAGACATAGCCAATAAACCATTTCAGAATGCGAATTGCATCGTGACATTAATTGTTGCAACTTGCAAGGCAGTGACAAACGTTAGGGTTTGCCAGATGCCAGATACACAGAATGTATACAATTTGCATTCTGACTATCGAAATGCAATTATTCGTAGCAGGTGAATTAAATAATTTGTAACGAGGCGCTTAAAAAATATTTGAGCATGAATACAGTCTGAATACATTATTTGTTGCTATGTCAAGGAAGAATCGGGCAAATTTTGGGGTTGTCAAGAACAACCTTTGTTTTAGATTTAAAGTAGGCAAAAATTCTAAATATGTTAGTAAACAGGTCTATTAACAGCATGAGGAGCGATCATATGGGATTCCTGGACTCCATGGATATAAAATGAGCCTCAATTAACAATTGGACTGTGTGAAGCCTGGAGCTGGCCAAATGGAAATGATATGACGCAAGATGGAAGTGGAATGGAAGAAACTAGGCGTGGTATACGCCATTTTCGTAATGTAACCAAATGTAATGTATACGTCTTTGTGAAGTGCCTCAATACAAATTATTTCATTCACCTTATATGAAATAATTTGTATTGAGACACTTCACAAAAACTTGTGCATTCAATTTGGTTACTTTACGAAAATGGCCTATAACTGAGTTTACAGATAGCACATGGTACAAATGACCCCAAATATCCACAGATCTTTTACACATGGAGAAGTTCCACTTTGAGCATCTTAGAATAATAACTGCCAAAGTCCTAGATGTGCTTCATGAATACCTTTTGTTTGACCTCTTGAAAAGAATACTTCCACCTGCGTATCAAAGAATGTACCGTTGGTGCATAAATGAATAATGTTACATAACTTTCATGAGCGCATATCCAGTATTCATCTCTGTGGGTTTTACCATTTTGGTACAAATGACCTTTATCTGCCCATGCGCAGATTGTATCTGTAAACTCCCTTATTGGACTATGTGAAGCCTGGAAATGGCCAAATGGAAATGATGCCACTTGTGACGTGAGATGGAAATGGAATGGAAGAAACTAGGCGTGGTCCGGGGGCGTGGTAAGTACGAAGATATTTGTGTGTGAAGATGCAGAGAGGAATGGAATGTGTGTCGCTGAAAAGCAATTGAGATTCTTGTAAAAGAGATGCAAAGTTATAAGTTCAAGAGGTGCTGGGCCAGTAAAATGTCAAATAGAAAGGAACGGGTTTGGAAAAACAAGGATATGAGGCAAACAATATAGAAAGTTTATTGACACAGAAATAGAGGAATGTTTTACTGTAATGAAGTCGACGCAGCATTTTGATAGGCTATTTTACTAACGTAACCAAATACAATGTAGTGTATGCATGGAGCGCCAGGATCGAGAGGCAAGTCTGACAGACATAAGCGCTATACAAGAACCCACTATTATTATTATTGATGCATGCCCATGCATGATCTGAAGCGACTGAATACGAATTATTTCATTCACCTGTTACAAATAATTGTATCTCAATAGTCGGAATGCCAATTGCATACAGCAGTTGTTGCTATAGGTAGACAAGTATTATGGCCTGTCCTACGTATAACACCACATACTATGATTATGCAGTTTGCATTGTGACTATTGAAATGCAATTATTCGTAAAACAGATGAATGAAGGAATTTGTAACGAAGCACTTAACAAAGTTAATGCATTACATTTTATTACATTACAAAATGGCCTATTAAGGATGCTTTAGGCCAATTACTTTAGTTTAGTGATAGTAAAATATATATAGAGGGAGGCAATGACGAGCGTAACCAATGCTCAAATAGAAAGTTCATTGAGACAGAATTATTGGATTAGTTCATAGTACATAAAGTCGCCGCAGCATTTTTTTTAGAAGGTCCCTGTATTGTAATCGGTATTAATGAAAAATCTAAACATAAACAGGGGTCCTGTCTTGTATTTGATAGACAGATCCAATATTTGTAAGCATATGAATGATATTCATGCCTGATGTTAACAAAGACCTTTTTTCCAACCGCACTTCGACACCAATATTTTGCATGTGCCATTTTAATTCTCCCCTCCCCTTGTTTTAATATGCATATAAATTATATTGTGAATTTAAAGCTGTTATTATTCAATTGGCCATTTTACTTTCTATCTCTCTCTCTCTCTCTCTCTCTCTCTCTCTCTCTCTCTCTCGTTCTCTCTCTTCAGAAGAAAATCGGGGGGGGGGGGGGTATAGTGAACACTATTTTTTTTTTTTTTTTTTTTTGCTCCCGAAAATTTGAAAATCGCGCCGGCCAAAAAGTCGCTCAGTGGGGGGGGGGGGGGGGGGGGGGGGGGGTAGTTTTTGAGCGCCTGAATCCGCCACTGGAGTGTGGCAAATGTAGATCAATGTCTTGCCAAAGGAGTGCGGCCAGGGACATGTCCCTGGTGCGGCAGCGGGACTCTTTAATTCTCCTATAATTATTGTCTCCTTTTCCCGTTCTTTCTCTATACCCCTACCTAATTACATGTATTTCCTTCCACGCCCCCCCCCTCAATCTTTGACCCCCCCCCCCTTCCCCCTCTCTCTGGTTTTCTTTTATCTCAGTGTGGTGAATTTAATCTTTTTAAGATAAACAAATGTATTGTTATCCTTGCATTTTAAAGCAATGTGAGTCCTGCAATTTTTTGTAATATATTATTTTTGCTATTGTGATTTTAATATTTTCATATTTATTTTGTCATTTTGCAATGTATTCACTTTATTATCTATCATGATTGTAAAATAATCTGCAACTCGGCTCTCTGCAGGGTCGTAGCCAGAGTTTGATGTTGGGGGGGGGGGGGCACATACTTTGATCGACGGGAGGGGTCTAAAAAGTTCAACCGATCTTAGAAAGAAAAATTGGGGGGGGGGGGCACGTGCTCTCTGGCCATGAATAGTTTCTTATCAATAAACCGCAGTTTAATTTTATAAAGAAGCGCGTTTAGTAAGATTTAAACAAAATAACCTTCTATTTTATCTTGGTCTTCGGAAGAGAACTAAAATTTAACTTTTTAAAATGTAATATGCTAGCTAGAAGATAACGCATGCCATTACTTGATATATGAAGGGGAAAAAACGACTCAAAAATTAATTACATGTGAATCTAAGTCGACGGCATAATGCCGTCTAATTAAAAGAGATCTGTGTCATATCATGCGGCATGCGCATGGTCGACTGTGCTTCGTTTGCTCTGAACAGCAAGGCGACGCTTGCATTCAGCGCAGCGCATTGTGATTAATATTTCCAGCTCTGTATATCATGCATACAAAAATGAGTGGTTTTTGATTTGTTGAGAGCTCTTCACGTGACCAGAAATATTTCAACCTATATGAGGGTTGCTCTGAAAAAGTACTATATTTGGGAGTATTTGTTTTGTCATTTGTTGTTTTTCACATAGTTAATTAAAGAAGTTATTACAATAACATTTTCTGTTGGCGATTCAACGTTTAGGATTAAATGCTATTTTTCGTTTAAGATGTGAGAGAAACAAAAAATACTAACCATAACTTATATGTTTTGTATAATATTTGTATATAATAAAACCGTTTACCCTGGTCGTGACATGGTCCGCTGGGGTTGGTACACAATCTCGATAAGAGCTTTCCAAATTTTACTGTTATAGAGACATGACCCTTCTTCCGACATTTGACCATATTTTAGCGAAATTTGAATAATATGAAAATAGGCCTATAATTATAAATGAATATTGAGGGAAAGATGTTGCAAACTCGATCTTGACAAAGTTGACTAGAGATTTTCATAGCGCTCCTTTAAATCATGTATTGAAGACTATTCAGTTATCATATTTCCATTTTTTGGTTGAAATTTGCTATTTTTGTTATTATTTTTTATTATAATTATTATTATTACTACTATTATTAAAATTATTGCTATCAATATTATTATTACACGCTTCTGTTTTAAGCCAATTATTATGGAACCGGACTCATGCATAATTACGCCCCGGCCCCCCCCCCCCCCCCCCCCCCCCCCCACTCAGTGTTATTTAGGGTACGCATATGCTCGTACCCTCTTTTGAAAGCACCCCCTATGTGAGGACTGCCAACATTTCCGAACCCCCCTTTCGCGGGCTTTTCGCGGGCTTTTCCTGCCTTGGAGACCCCGCTAAATCAGGAAAAATGCTCAATGTATCACCCTAAATCAGGAAAAAATGCTCAATGTATCCCCCTAAATTCGGAATAATTTCTCAGGAGTCCAAAGAGATGAGAGAGAAAAAGAAAAAAAACCCCCTTTTTAAAGAAATCTACGGGTAAAAAGTCAAATACACCCCTTTTTTTACAAATCTCGGGCCGGACTTTGTCGCACGAAAAGTACCCCTTTACCGGACATTTTGGCAACACGCATGCGGTCATTCCGACCTCTGAGTGGGGGGGGGGGGGGGGGGCCGGGAATTACGCATAAAGTTGAGTTCTGGTCATGCGATTTTATTGTGAAAGAAACGGTGTGGAGTCGATCAAAAGGTTTAACATCTAGCATATAAGTATTTGTGTGTACTGCAAGGTTTTGGAATCATCAAAATGATAAGAAATTTGGCCAAGTCTTGGTAAGTTACAAGCATTGTACGCAGAATGGGACTACACGAACACGTGGTGTAAAAATCCGTCCCGATTTTTACGATGTTACATGACATATTTAGAATATGAAGGCATTTTGAAGAGCCTTGCTTTTCAGGGAGCATGTTTTATCTGATGTTTTTCCACACTTGCATAATAACAATGATAACGCTCACAAATTTATTGTCATGTCTTCCCAGAATCCTCAACCTTCTCTTTAATCACGCGATGCCCTATTAAATATTTATATTATTGGTTAGCTAGGGGGTGTTACGTCAACCCCCCCCCCCCCCCCCCCTTGGCAAAAAGCTAGATCCGTCCCTGTTAGCCTTCTATTTTGTCATTTGTTGTTTTGCACAAAGTTAAGTAAAGAAGTAATTTTACAATATAATTTTCATTTGTTGATTACAACATAAAGGATTAAGCTATACATTGATTAAGATGCGAGAGGAGCATTAAAAAAAATATATAATAAGCAATACAAACAGAAAATACTAAGCAAAATTGGAAGTGTACAGTACTCATGCACTGCATGAGATATGAGCATTAATATTTCTCTTCACTTTCAACGATAATCTTGAAACATGCAGGCTCCAGAGAACGGACATTAGATCCCGAATTAGATAATGTGTTTTGGCCCGAGGTCTTCATTTAGGTTTGCAAAAGTAAGAGATTTGATTGGTTAAAGGCAAGACACAGTGATAAATCAAAACCCACCTTTTTAATCAGTTATTGTATACTGGGAGCGCACTCAGGTAGTAATTCCATCCAACTGAACTGTTTTGTATTAGTAATATTTTATTTTATTTTGTTGCTTTTAAACTATTGAACATGTTAAATAATTATACTAAGTTAGACAGCACCACCTGTGCGCTTAGCAACAACTGTAAGAAGCGCCCTATGAATGTAATTATTATTATTATTATTATTATTATAATTAAGGTTTAAAATAATAATTTTTACTACTTTGGTGATTGAGATGGATACAATCAGGGAGGCACTATAGGGTGCGATGCATTTGTTATATATTTCGTCGTATTATATAGATCACAGGAGGGATGCGCAGACCACTTCAACAAGGCGCATATAGGCATACAGGGTGGCCCAATAAAAACGGACTAGCATATACTTCCAATAATAAGGGCGACATATCACTGGTACTGTAAGGAAAATAATACAAAATTTGTCGAAGTTGTTTGACTTTATTTTTTATTTTTATTGGGCACTCATAACGATTTACAACGGTTATCGATTTGCAAAGTACAGGTTTATGAACTAAATTGAAGATACAAACTTTCACCAAATCTGCCGTTTTACCGTGTTTTGCAGCAGCATAGGCCTACTCTGATGTTTCAATGACTGAGCCTTTTATTCTAGACACATTTTTTGTGAAACAATATTAGAGACATCCCCTGACGGTGCTCCTTGTGGTGAAATAACGTACCACCAATGGCGTGTCGAGGCAGGGGGGGGGGGGGGTTGTTGTTTTGGGTTTTCGAACACCCCCCCCCCCCTTGACCAAAGGGGGTGTTTTAGAATTTTAAAGACACCATTTATCTGTGTTTGAAGTGTTTACACATGGGGGAAAAAAGGTTTTACAAAAAAGATGGTAACGTTTTTTTTATAAATAAAAATGGGCCCCGTCCCCACGGTAATTTTTTTTTGCTCAAAGGGGGGAGGGACGGATGTTGAGGGGAAAAAGGAGATAAAATAAATAAATAAATCTCCCCCCCCCCCCCCCCGCTTATTCGCCGGCTGGCTGATTCGCCGCTAAATATTTTCCCACGAATTACGCCCCCGCACCCCCCCCCCCCCAAAAAAAATAGTATACAAATCTACACTGCCTTGAGAGGTTCTGGTTAAAACTATGCGCAAGAGGTGACTCCAATAGTACTATTTGCTGAGGGGCACAGCCCCGAAGCAAATGGTACTTTTGGAGTCACCGAGGCCCATAGTTTAACCAGTACCTCGAATAGAAGGCATGGTATATTTGTTTTATATCCAGCATCAAAAATTTATTCAAAAAATAAATAAATAAATAAAACATAAAAATTTCAATATTTATCTAAAAAGATTTAAAATATTTTGTTTTCAATAAATTAAGATTTGAAGAAAAAAAATTGATTCAATTAAAAAAAAAATGTGAATTTTTTTTTCAACTCCCAAATAGTAAACCAAAATAGTTCTCTGATATAGTACTTTCTAAAAATAGGTCAAATATTTCTGGTCATGTGACGAGCTCTCAACCAATCAAAAGCCAACAATTTTTTGATGCAGGATATAATGCTCCTTACCCCCCCCCCCCCCCCCCCTCGACCCCCACCCCCGCGCTTATTCACCGGCTGGCTGATTTGCCTATAAATATTTTCCCACGAATTTGGCCAAAAAAAACACCCCTTAAAAATCCTGGATACGCCCTTGTATTTTCCGGAATGGTGTTATGCCTAAGATTACGGAAAACGATCATTGAAACTGGATTCCTATTTTGTGTCACAAAATACTCCCTGAAGCAAAAACCCCTTTATCAAATTTGTCATTCTTGGTATTATTTTTCATGCCATATTTTACTCAACATGTTGGAAGTATGTTTTTCTGAGGGAGAGGTGCAGATTATCCTTCGGGGAAAGATAACTCCCCTTTATATTCCGTGGCATATAATTTGAAAGTGAAATAACAGGCTCAAATTATATTCATTATTATGAAACGTTTCCTTCAGCCTCAACGAGAATGCTAATAATTGCGGCTCTCGGATATCTGACTGAGAATACTGATGCAACACATCCGTTTCAGAATGCAACCTGCATGCGTCCCGCCCCCGGCCTGAAACTATATTATGGAAGCTTTATTTATAGACGGATATCGATCATGATTATTATGAAACATCATATTTTTAACCATAAAGCAACACTGTTTTCGTGATATGATACATTTCTCTCTCCCAAAATATGCAACATAAAACGGTACCTTAAATATACATTGGGTCTAAAACAATGTCCCCTACCTTTAACTAGCAAGGATTCTGGTGTTCTCTGAGGAAGGTTACTATCTATTGCAGGAGTGGAAAGGCTGATCATTGCTGGAATAGCACAGAGAGTGCTGCATGCGCAAATCACTATTTGTTCACTGATCTAGCTAGTGCACCCGGCTGAGCTAGCTAGCACAACGAAGCGAGAGCACCGTGAAAGACTGAGCCTGAACTTGAAAATGGCTGTGGAGACGGTGAGTAAATGCATTAATCGCAAGTGTGTTGTGTTGTGTGTGCATGTGAGTCGCGGACGGCTGTAAATAACAAAATGTAATGCTTGTTTTGGTTTCTGTCATATTTACAATGCATGTTTGATATCAACCAAGCTATCTTACCAATATCGTGTATATTTCATATGTTATTCTCATAGTATAGTGATGTATATACATGTATGTACTATATGTCACGAGTGATACAAGAGGCTCGCTGTTTATTCACGGGAGTTTAAGTAAATGCTGAACACAAAATAAACTGTATTAAATCGACCACATAGATCTGGTACATTACATTTCACATTTTAATGTATTCATTCTAATTCCACTTCATTCTCTCTTTCCCGTCCTCCCTCTCGCAATGGAGAAAAAAATAATCGTGCATGGCGCATCTTTAGGTAGAGCGACTTTCATTCGATCTCATTATGAAAAGGGGAGAGAAAGAATGGTCTTGACAAAATAGGCCTATATAGCAAGCACACTGTTACTGCTGTTCGTCCGACCTAGCAACACAATAAATTGATGCAGTATATCAATGCATTGAAGAAGAAGATCTCATGTTCAAAAGACAGTGTATGAAATTGTTGTTAGCATCATCATCACGCATGACGCCATTGTATTGTCCATTGAAATCAATGCGACATTTCCAGTTGAAACCAGTTTGGTCGTGCAGGTACCAGGTTTCAATAGCCTATATAGGCTATATCCATTCATCATCGTATTAACTGAGCTGAACCATGCAGGATACAAGTTCACATTATTCTGATAAGCCTTGATAAGCTATAACTCTTTATTGACCACTTGAGGATCACCTGACATAGCAACAAAGTCATATAGGTATGCTGTACTGTATTTTTTTGATCATGTCTATATATTAAAATAAAAAATACGACAGCGTGGGAACAAAATTAATATTCAAACACGATATTTATCCCCCTAACAGACTACAATATTTAATAAAGTCAAAATACCAAAGAAATAATCATAAAGTTATATTTTGTTTGACTCACTTGATTACAAGGAGATTCTCTCTTTTTTTCGATACAAGTTCAAATTGAAATCACTGCCACTTAATAACAAATTGTCTATACATACCAGATAAATTATAAATATATCTTTCATCCTCATACTAATATTGAACAACATTTTTTTGAGAATTACACCAAATACAGAAACCCAGTTGCTCAGATTTTCGGAAAACATTTCTTGCTTTATCAATGTTACAATTCAGTTGAGTGCATCACTTTTCTTTTCTTCAAAACAAAAACAAAAACAAAACAACCAAAAAATCTCTTGTAAACTTTATCTGTAAACCTGTAGACATTCATAAATCAATCATGCTGTCTCATTCCAAATATTTTTACTAAATTCACATACACAAAAGAAGTGAACAATATTTTCTAACTCTCCGATAAAAAATGAACTTTTTTTTTTCTCATTAATTAGCATAGTCTCTCCTTGTACATTTTGCTTGTTTATTGATATGATTAATATGATTGACAAACTAAAAAAAAATCAAATTTGTAATTGATTTGTGTCATAAATAATTATTTCCATATCACCATAACAAAAAACAGAGAAAAACAGTGGTTCAAACTTAATTTTCGAAATGTGTACACTGGTTTCAACTTGACATCATGGCCCTCTCACATTAAATATTATTTAGCTGACATAATGTTAAGGTGAGCTTTGATAACGCTTAAAAAGAGTAGTGAATTTCATCTTGACTGTTTTGCAAATGAAAATAAAGCCGAACAGATCTGAAATTTGATTTCACACTCTTTTACCAAAATAATGAACAAAGATTTGTTCATTTTGAAAAGATATACTGTTTGATATCTCCGAATCTTTAGGCAATCTTCACCGAATCCGTGTGAAAACGTCAACCTGAGTAAGATTTAAAGGGACATTTTGGTAAGTTTTGCCCAGGGGTCCGCTCAGTCAGACACGTAGAAATACTGTAAGCACGCGTGACCACATGTTTTCCAGACACCAAAATACCAAAATACACCCTAAATGAGGATTTCGCGTGTTTTTTTTTCCTCCCGAATTCTCACCCTAAACGGGTATTTCACAAAAGCGTACTCCTAAACAAGTGTTGTAAAATGGTAACCCTTAAGTATTTTGAAGTACGATAGGGATTATCATTTAAGTTTTTGACAATGTGAAATAACTCAAATTCATACTTATATAATCATCCATGAAAATAAACGGCGTCTAAAATTGCCCCCCCCCCCCCCACCCCTTGACAAATTTTAAAAATCTGGCTTCGAGATGACCTGCGTTTGGCCACCTACACAAAACGCTTGCAGAATTTCAACCCCCCCAAAACCCCTTTTACGCGTTTTCTTGGTCACGCATGCTTACAGTATTTATATCTGACTGAGACCCCGGCCCCCGGGAAATTTTGCACAGTAGAACCAGTCAGAACAGGTTACATGCTCGAGGAGTCGAAGTGATGATATAGATTTCAATGGCAAGTGCTGTCAAAACGTGGGTGTAATATTTACAAGAGTATTGACTCTATCTGGTGAGCCGTGTTAGTAATATGAATGACCATGGTCCATGGAATGACGCACAAAGGCATCTCTGTATGACGGGCTGTACATGCCATTATTATGTACAAATATACATACATTCGTCTATCGATTTATTGTTTTAATCAATCAGTTTTAATACAAGAAATTGTGTAACTAATACAGCTTCGAATCGAATGGATGTATAGTTGTATATACATATTATTATGACACTTCAGCCCGCACGCTGAAAACTATACAATCATGCTTTCATGAGTGCTTCGGGGATGTATAGTTGTTTAGTTTCTTTGCATTTTCTTCTTTATGATACTTTGGTATTTTATGTTAGGGAACCTAAATTACAAGCCATGTTTTCCTAGGTTTCATCCACAATACAGCAAATAACTATCTTCTTAGTCTCAATTGTATAAGTTTACTGCATTGTTTGTACCATATTATGTATATTTCTCGTTTGTTAATATTTTAATTAGAATGACTAGTCTTTGTAAAACATAAAACTTTGTAAATTTTATTTGCTGATATTGTGGAAAATAAATGAAATGAAATGAAATAGTTGCACATAGTTGCATGGTTGTATAGTTGAATATGTAGTTGTATGGATGTATAGTTGCATGTGTAGTTTTACGGTTGTATAGCTTCATGCGTTCTGGATGGCTAAAACTACATTGTACAGCTATTTGATTAACGAATTAGTTGTACATACTAGTGGCACGTACAGCCGGTCATATCCCTGGGTGGAACGCCTCAAGCTTGGTACTATTTTTACCAGATGTTGCGAAACGACAACGTACTTTTATTTGGGTCAAGTCCATTCTGAAGTCAATTCTAGGACTAAAATTAACGTCCTCGTGTTAATTTTGTGGTTTTCATTACATCGAAAGAATGGTAGTTCACATTTATGGAAATTAATGCCCGCATATTATTTCTCTTGACAATCACAGTTTTACCTGTGAGTAGAATTGCATCAACAATATACAACATGCTTTTGTACAATGAAGAAAAACAGCAAAATCGTATCTCGCTGTCAGTAACTCATTGATAGAAAAGTCATCAATGAATTTGAAACATATTTTCAACTGGTCTGTTTAATTATTATGGAAAATATGGATTTCATCAAGGTTGGGAAAATAGATCACTTTACAAATGCATTCATATTTGGTGCATACTATAATAACATGACAGGTTACACATCATAATTAAAAGCCATTAAGCTTATAATCAGACGTAAATATCGTCTTGCAATTCATTTAAAAGCAATCTTTTTCAACTTTTCTTTGCACTTCACGTAAACACAAGCATGTTATACCCGTCGTGCATTTATTTTGAAAATAATCGTTAGACCTCATCTTGAGGGAAATGTGAATTCGTAACCATTTAAAAACTCGTGTACGAAATTATATGAATATGAATGCAAAATTAATTTGAAATCCTCCTACAAATAATGTAAATTTCAATTACTTTGAATACATATTCAATTTGAGCTCTTCTTGTGAATACATATTCAATTTGAACTCTTCTTGTGAATACATATTCATTTCTAACTTGAAACATAAACATTTTTTAAATCATTATCAGATACCGTCACGTTCAAGTATGGATCATGACGCAGAGCTCAAACGTTTGGCCGCCGAGTTTGATCGAGATGACGTTTGGTCTCTTGTTCAGGAGCTGGGTCTTGATGAGGAGACGATTCGCAATCTCCAAGAGAAACCAGGTTCCTCCAGCATCACTGTTGAAACCTTGATGCGGACATGGATAGAGCAGCATTCCGACGGAAACGATGGTCTGGAGACATTGGATATTCTTGAAGATAAACTGACGAAGTTTAAAATACAGTCAACTGAAGCGGATAAAGGTAAAATATGATAATGAATGAAGATGATAATGATGATGGGGATGTTTATGATGGTGGTGATAAAAATGATGGTTATGATGATGATGAATAAATTAAAGAAAGAAAGAGAAAACATTAATGACTAACTGAATAATTTAAGATGATTGTCAATGATCTCAAAGTGATGATAACATTGTTGAATATGATGACATTGTTAAATATAGTGACAATGACGGTGGTAATGATGATATTCTTGTATTGTCATTGCTTTTCGTGATCATGTAATGAAATATAAATACAATTCTTTTAAACGTAGGCTGCCTATGAATGTACAGGGTGGAAGATAGGGTCACCTTATTTGGAGAAAAGTCGTGAAAAGGTGACCTGTGGGATGTTTCACAAAGATCCTAATTTGAGCTTATCTCTAAGTTGGACTTAACAATTATGGAAAGCCGTTAGCACCTTTGAAAATATTTTGTAAAAGTTAGTCTGAAAGGGATAAAATGTTGATTCAAATCATTCACATTTTCTATTATCATGGGAGATTTCATGTCCTTGATGTGGAATTTATGAACACTCTAAAATACGTTAATTTTTGCTTTTGAATGCATTTTATTTTAAGGCTACAAATGGCCCTCCATAGTTTTTAAGTCCAACTTAGAGTTAAGTTTGACTTATAATCTTTGTGAAACACCCCCCCCCCCCCCCCCCCCTGTTTGATTACAATGCCCAATCAGGACAATCGTTCCACATGACTTTGTTATGTGGTTTAGCTCAATAACTTTTGATTCAGAGTCCTAAAAAATATGCCAGGGCCCCGTTTCATAAAACTTGTTATCTATAACAACTGCTAAATTTCTATGACAAATTTGCTCTCAGCCAATCAGATGCCATGATTTCAGTAGCTTATAACAGTAGCTTGTAACTTGTTATTGATATCAAGTTTTATGAAACAGGGCCCAGATGCATGAGAAGAAAGGGCAACAATCTCTGCACTCACCTGCATACATTTTTGCTTCATGACTATATTGTATTTGATGCCAGGAATTATAAACAGGTTGAACAAGCCTCAAAATCCTTATATTGGCAAGACTTTGGGATATTCCAAATTATTGTCTGTCCGTCGAAATTTGCCATTTTGCAATTTTTTAAACATAATTCTTGCCCATGTATATTTTCTTCAGATACATTACATTTAGGCCTAATTTTAAGAATGTAGCAATAAAAGAAAAATATTGTTGTTGCCAATTTGAGGAAAAATATGTGATCAATTAATTTAGCCCTACAGTAAATGTTGTCCTGCCTTAAGGGTTAAAATCACTATGAATATGACGGACAATGAAAGAGGACAAAATATACAATTCCCCATTCTACCCTCAACAATTGCTGTGTTAGACAAAGGAACATTCCTTCACTGCTATTATGTAAAAATGTGTACAACAGGTGTCGTGTGCATATTCACCTGTTCTACACATTTTTACATAATATCAGTGAAGGGATGTTCCTTTGTCTACCACAGCAATTGTTGAGGGTAGAATGAGGAACTGTATATTTTGTCCTCTTTCTTTGTCCGTCATATTCATAGTGAGTACTGCCATCAGAATATAAAGTGGCTCTCTGTCCCATCACGTCAACGCTTAGAATTCAAAATGAATTAATGACAGGTGACTTGCATGTGTTCTAATTGTTAGTAGCGTACTAGCGTTTTTATGGTTAGCACCTGTGCCACATCTGCAGTCGTTGGGGGGAGGCCAGGCTAGTACTACTAGTAGGCTACCGTTTCCGCACAGCCTAACAAGTTTTTGGCTCGATTTTTTTAAACAAAAACAATGACGGCACCTATGACACATTTCACTTAAGGATTTGTAAGAGTGTACGCACTACAGTGTGGCCCAATAATTAAAACAGTTTGTGAACAAGCACTGTTTGCCGGTATAAATTTGGTCACAAAGATAATCACAGATTAAATGCACCACCGTGTGGCTAAAGAGCCCTAAAGCGTGTACAAGAACACCGTTTTTTTTTATTTCACTGTGGCGATTTTAGCATTGGAATATTGTTTCTTCCGTATTCTCACGGTAATCTTTATAGAGCATGCGTCACAATGTACACAGTTACATCAGGTGAACACTGTCTCGCTGTGGTCACCAAAATATTATCAGAGTATACAAGTCCCAATATTGTTACAGTTGTGAATACCATAGGCTATTTTCGTAATGAAATCAAATTGAATGCATACGTCTTTAGCCATGTTCAGACGGGGGCTTCCTAGTCGGCGTCAGTTAATCTCTGCAGCAGTAAATATACCACAAATATTTGACTGTCTTACAACATTAGTTGTCCATACCCTCTTACTCGGACCAACTTACCACGATTAAGTTAACTCGACCTTCCAGTGACCCAGTCGTACTCAGCGCAACTTCTGGAAGTGAGCTGGGGAGCGAATCCAGGCTTTTCCAAAAAGGAGAAGGGGGGGGGGTGAAATGTACGATATTGGGAGCGCGAAGCCTTTTCCGGTTAGGGGTCTGACAATTAGTATGCAATTTGCATTCTGACTATTGAAATACCATTATAATAATAATAATAATAATAATAATAATAATAATAATAATAATAATAGCCTAATAGTCCACTCCAAATTTTATTAAACCGAAACGTAACAGGTGAATCAAATAATTTGTAACGAGGCACATCACAAAGATTTGTGCATTTAATATTATTGCATTACGAAAATGGTATATTGTGCACTGTGGCCACATAAATAATCACATAATCATCTGTATGCCCCCTCCGTATGTTAACAGTACAACCACAGTGTGAACACTTTATCTGCACCGTGGGACACGTACTGTCCTTGCTGTTTGGGTGGTATGTGCATGATGCATAAATAAGTATACCACAGATATAGTAACGCAATGTGGGCACCATATTTGATCACAGCGAAAATGTGAACACTCCTTTCACACACACACTGTATTCACAGTAAACCACAGTGCGTACACTCCACAGTGAGCTGACATAGTGTAAATGCACTTCCGCAATTGAACTGCATGACATCAAAATTATATTTCCGTTAACGTGGTCGGCGCCCTTCATGAAACGTTTGATTGGAAAATTGAAGATCCACGGTATTACCTTCATTTCATTATTTTGTATTCCTTCAGATGCTGAAGCCACCTCTGATGACGCAAAGGGTGGAAAGAAGAAGGGAAAGAAAGGTATCAAGCGATGGGGTATCTTAGTCGGTCTCTTCTTTGTTTCTTTCATCGAGGTTGGATCAATAAGAACAATATCACTCATCCTGGATGACCTCACTCGTCAGTTTGGTGTCAGCACGTCATATCTAGCTGCTATATACGGCGTCGTGTCTGGTATATATACTATCCTAGGTAAGGTGGAGAAAAGGATATCCATTATATATATATATTATTGAAATGTATGTATATCATTTCAAACTAAAACCCCATTGAAGTTCCTTGGAAATGAATCTTTGTGCTATTAACCTCATATTTCATTCATAATCATGTAACGGAATTGGGGATTGAAAAAAGTCACTTTTAAAGCATTCACGAATCTTATTCAAAATATGCCTGCATTTCAAAGCAGCTTCCGTTTTAGTCGCATGATTTTATGTGGTTCCAAATGCGCATCTTTATTTCCCACCACCAAAGTAGGACCAACCTCGGAATGCAGGAATATGGCAGTCTGCCAACTCAGATTTTTAGGACCGATATCTCTATTTTAACTGGCAGACAGTAGCCCTACAAATAAAATTAAAACTTGTCATTCTTTTCTGAAAAGGATGTATATTTTAAGAGACTTTTAAGCTTTATTCCAAAGTCATAAATCAATGACGCATTGTATTTACTTATTTCATTGTCACAGCTTTTCTGAACACACACCTGCTCCGATGGTTCTCTGTTCGTCAGCTAACGATGTTCGGCGGAGCTGTATCAGCAGCAGGGCTCGCATGTGCTTCCTTTACTCAAACGGCTCCTCAAGTTACTGGTGCTCTCATAGCCTACGGTATGTGTTGATTACTGTTTTCCGAACACGTGTTTAGAAAATTCCATTGTGTGTAAACGTTATTATGGTCTATATTTTTACTGAAAAACTTAATGATTTTACTTTTCTGCTTATCTTCTTCATATAGGTGCTGGTTACATTTTCGTCATTCTACCAACATACACTTGTCTCAACAGCTACTTCTCCGATCGGTTCGAAATAGCTACAGGTATCATGACATCGGGTGGAAGCACTGGAGTTATGATCATGCCGTGGATCTTTGAAATCCTTCTTGACATGTATGGCTGGCGAGGTGCTATCTTATTACTTGGAGGAGTCAATGCCCATTTCCTCGTTATTGGCGCGCTGTTAGAGCCAGTTCGTACCAAACCACTTCGCACCAAGAAAAATTCAAATGGGTCTAAAACCCTAAAGGACGTCGACTTTCAGGCACATGATAACATCAGTTTCAAGCCTGATTCAGCTGACGTCAAGGAAAGTATAAACCCGTCGATTCAGAGTAGTCAAGAGCTTGAGATGGTTTGTCTAAAGGATGAGGGCGCTGTTCAACGTCGTTCCCATGCTGCTGAAAGTGATGTTGATGCCACCCCCGACGTTGCAACTGTAACCTCCAAAGAGCCAGAAGACGAAGTGGATACAAGGAATGTGGGCTGTCTTTGGAAGTGGCTCCGGAAAATCATCAAATTTTCGGGCCTTCGCATCTTCGGAGAACGTCCCCTAATGATCGTTGTCTGCTTCCAGATACTCCTCTTCTCTCTACCGTACGCTACTTGGCTTCTATTTACCATCCCCAATGCCCAAGCCAAAGGCCTCTCAGACTTCAGGTCCGCCCAAATCTCACTCGCTGGTGGAATTGCCAACTTCTTTGGCCGCTTCGCAAGTGGATTCGTCTTCTCCAAGAATATTCTTCCAGTCGAAGTCTGGTACTTGCTTGCGAACATCGTCACAGCAGCGGCGTTCTTCGTGAACTTCTTCGCCGAACCGTTTTGGTTTCTGACGATTCTCGCAGTTTTGTTTGGTTTCATGATGGGTTTTAACATCCCGACTATATTCGTTCTGGTGAAGAATACGGCTGGGAAGGAGCGCTACGAAACTGGTTTAGCCTTTTTGCATCTCTGTTATGGGCTTGCATTTCCACTCGCTGGTTTTGTTGCAGGTAAGTCGGTTTATCATCTTTGACCGAAGTGTTAAAAAGAATGCTTTCCGAAGAACGAGCTGTTATGGAGACACGTATTTAAAAAACAATACATCATTTACAATAAGTGAAAAATGAGAGGACACAATGCTTAATATACCTGGGGGTGTTTCACAAAGACTAAGATCGACTTTAAGTTGGACTTAACTATGGCAGGCCATTCATGCCACTGGTTGCTCTCACCATCGGTCTCTCAATTGTGATCTTTAGATAATATTTTTTCCTTCAATAATGAACTATCAAAAAAGGTGAAATTCTGTAGATTTGTGACCGCGATTTGTGCGTCCCTTGAGAAACCGATTCCAGGAATGGTTAGAGGAACTAGTGGCATGAAAGGCCTGCCATAGTTAAGTTCAACTTAAAGTCAATCTTAGTCTTTGTGAAACACTCCCCTTGTATATGTTTTTTTTAAATGAACAATCATTAAGGAATAATTTAGTCTTCTGCAGTCACAAGAAGAAGTCATTTCTACCCTCGATGTAAGAAATAATTATTTTGGCAAAACAGTTTTCAACGATTCTCATGTTACACTTTTATTTTCAGTTTCTTTCACAGCATTCATTATAATGTAGCGTGTGTTCTATTTTGTAATCACCCGGCTTCAGATTCTCGAAACCTTCAATAATTAACTAAGTTCGTGGATCATCCATCGAAACATAACTTTATATTGGATGGTTTCAAGAAAACTCATATTGAAAACCAAAAATCTGGTTGCCGTCTGTTTTCTCGCATGTAATTAGTAGATAAGTAATGTACGTCCATATACTAAATATCGACATTTTAATTTATTTAAAAATCTATTTTTGTCTTCTATGATTTGCAGGAAAGATCTATGACGGAACACAGTCTTACAACGCTGCGTTCTGTATTATGGGCGGTTTGGCACTTGCTGCGGGTGTCGCTGTGATTTTGCCGCTCCTGGGCTCAAGATTCGGCAAGATATTGAAGAGATATTCATGTTCATGTGCCTGAAATTTGATGGATGTCCGCCTGCAGTTTTTAAGTGTCCACCCTTTATCACGAAGGTGTAATACACGATTGTACGCAAAACCCCTGTTTTGTTGGAAACGAGACTTTAATTGTATTTAAAGAAGGACAAATGGGTTTTGGATAGTACAAAATTATGTTAGCCATTTCAAGAAGGATCACTGTGAAGGAATCCCTATTTTTGGAAGTTGATAGGCTTTATAGGCGAACTCATTTTCAGTATTTCAAGGTTTCATGAAAAGGTTATTTCAATAGTTCGATACCGCGGCTTGTCACGAAGATTTACCCAAATACTATGTACTAGTTTTATATCACGGCTTATCACGAAGATTTACCTAAATAGTATGTAATAGTTTTATATCACGGCTTATCACGAAGATTTACCTAAATACTATGTAATAGTTTTATATCACAGCTTATCACGAAGATTTACCTAAAGGCTATGTAATAGTTCGATACCGCGGCTTGTCACGAAGATTTACCTAAATACTATGTAATAGTTTTATATCGCGGCTTGTCACGAAGATTTACCTAAATTCTCTGTAATAGTTTTATATCGCGGCTTGTCACGAAGATTTACCCAAATACTCTGTAATAGTTTTATATCGCGGCTTGTCACGAAGATGTACCCAAATGCTATGTAATAGTTTTATATCCCCGCTTGTCTGGTAAACGGTACAGTTATTTGTGTGCCTTAAAAATATTGGCCCGAATTCACAAAGCAAGGTTTGAGCTCAGACCAACCTTGGTCTGAGCTCAAACCTTGCTTTGTGAATTCGGGCCAACATGTATGTGAAGTATAAACAACCGATATAGATGCGTGTAATGCCATCAGCAAAATCGTCACATTTCTGAAATGGCTGAATTGATAACAGTTGAACACCCTAGCCCGCCCGCGTCTTTTTTCCCGTAATATAGCCATCCGAGAATGCATATTAATATTTGAATATACGAATATTTGCGTTGGTACGTTGAGGTGGAGATCAAATTCAAACTTAAATCGGCCAGATTCTGGACTTAATTAACCAGTATGTCGGAATGATTATGGACAAGTTACGGTAGTCATTCGTTTACGATAAGCCTCCCGGTTTTGTCACATTGTCACTTATTTAAAGTAAACTTAGCTTTGCATTTGTAATTTTTGTATGAAATATCATATTTGATAAATTATCGCATCAGATTCTGTGTGCGTGCGGATCATGAATATTGATGATTATACAACACCTACGTGGATCCTTGTCATTTGATTGGACGATTGTTGGTCACATGATATTCAATAGATGGTATATTGCACGGTCGTGCATTTTTGGTTATATGCGCCGTGCATTTTTGGTTATATGCAGACTGCGTACCTCTCTGCTGCATGTGCGCGCGCGTATCCCTGCGTGTATCTGACGCGAAGGCAATCTGCATGTAATTGAGAAGGCTTGACTCGAACTGTAATTTATCTTTATAAGGAGTAAAGCATAATTTGTTGATTAACGATCTATTAGGTCTTCTTCGATGTTGTATAAAACAAATAATGAATGTTTTTCATTCGTTTAATAGTGCAAATATTTTCATTCGTTGAAAGATTAACGTTAATTCTATTCAACGAGGCGTCAGCCGAGTTGAATAGAATGTTAATCTTTCAACTCATGAACATATTCGCACTATTGAACTCATAACCATTCATTATTTGTATACTAGCGCATGACGTGTAGGTCCTATTGAGCCAATCAAATGCAGCGACAGGATGGCTACGTTGCGGACAAAAAAAAAGACGCAGCCCGCCCCCGCCCCCGCCCCCGCCCCACCCCCACCCCCACACCCCCACCCCCCCCCCCAAAAAAAAAAAAAATCGTGTAGAATTATAAGTATTTCAGTTTGGATTCGGTTTTCACTATTATTTATTGCGGTATACTTTGGATGTATGAATGTCAGATGAATTCATCTTGTCTTTGGAGAACAATTTTGAGAAAAAAGTGACTGTTTTACTTCATTTACGTTCGACTTTTTAAGTATCATTAATGCTATTATACATTGGGGTAGAAATGGTTAGAGGCTTTTAAGATTTCAGTTGATTTGACTTTAATTATTGATATATATATAATTATTATGTATTTTTCTTATCTGAAACGGGCGTTTCTGTTTAGATTGAATGAACTGAAAATAATACATTTTATTTTTCTAGAAATATTGTGTTAGAATGCTGTGATTAGGAGTGCATTATGATGATTATCAAAGTGTTTTATTCAGTTTGCCGGTCTTTGCTTCGGGTGGCATATTTTCATAGCTGGATCAGTTGTTTTTCCTTATTTCTTTCGCTTCTTTATGTGTTGTTTTAAACATCATTATATCGGAGTATGAATATTGGTGTGCGATCTTCAGGGTAGATATAGATTACCAAAGTGTGACGACATACTGGCCATACTGCTCCCGCCCGTTTCTAAATGGTTTCCCGGCGAACCTCATGTGCAGGCTCTATTTGGAATCAGAAACCTGGACGACGAGCGAATTTGACGCTAGCACTTCGGTATTTTATTATCGAATAGAATATATTTCAAGAGGTACACAGTTTAGGAAGACGTTATTTGTATTGGACCATGCGGCCCATAATCATGATGTAGGCTACATATACCTACGTCAGTACGTATTCAGAGTAAATAAGTATTCAAATATATGGATGTTTCGTCTTATGCAAGGTAGATCAAAACCAAAGCACGTCTTAGGAACAACGAAGCTTTACCAATCAATGGTCATTTTGATATGCCCCTGTTGCTTTTGAAGAAAAACAACCAAGAGTTGTGTTAAAATACCCCGGGTAAAATGTACAGTGATTGGCGAACCCATGAACAGGATGTACCTTACAGTATAGCAGACGAAAATGGAAGCTCTTAAAACGCTTTCATAATTAGAAAAAGTTTAGCTCAGCGTGTGGTACAATTCTTGATTATCGTTGTTTTTGGATGCGGCAAAGATTTAAAACATACAGTATTCGACGTAAGCTGTAATTGGTCAAGGAAAATACGAAATATTATGTAGTAGTGAAAGCTATTTCTATATTAAGTCCTGCATTATAGAACTGAAATAAATGCCACAATAATAATTAGAGTCAACATGCGGATGTGATGTAGAAGCGTCATAGAGGCTGAGACATTGGCATGAGTGGAAGAAGAATTATCAGAGAAAGCTTGAAAGATTTGTGATAAGATTTGTTGGTGGAAAGAGAGAGAGAGAGAGAGAGAGAGAGAGAGAGAGGTGTAGATAGAGGGGAGGGGGAGGTGGAGTAAGGGATAGATGGGAGGATAGAGACAGATATACAGAGAGAAAGAGAGAGAGAGAGAGAGAGATGTAGATTGAGGGAAGGAAGTGGGTGGCATGTGGGTGGGTAGAAGTGGGGGAGCATGTGCGTTTGTGTATGTGTGAGAGAGAGAGAGAGAGAGAGCGAGAGAGAGGAGGAGGGGTAGAGTAAGGGAAATATGGGGGAAAAGAGAGATGGGAGGAGAGAGAGAGAGAGATGTAGACAGAGGGGAGGGAGTGGATTGCATGTTGGTAGAAGGGGGAGCGTGTGTGTGTGTGTGTGTGAGGGAGAAAGAGAGAGAAGGGGTGAGAGAAGAGAGTAAGGGATATATAGGGAGAAAGAGAGATGGGAGGAGAGAGAGATGTATAGATAGAGGGGAGGAAGTGGGTGAATATGGGTGGGTGGAAGTGTGGGATCGTGTGTGTTTGTGTGTGAGAGGGGGAGAGGGGGGGGGTGGAGTAAGGGATTTATGGGGAGAAAGAGAGATGGGAGGAGAGAGAGAGAGAGAGAGAGATGTAGATAGGAGGGAGGGAGTGGGTGAATATGGGTGGGTAGAAGTGTGGGATCGTGTGTGTTTGTGTGTGAGAGGGGGAGAGGGGGTGGAGTAAGGGATTTATGGGGAGAAAGAGAGATGGGAGGAGAGAGAGAGGGAGAGAGAGATGTAGATAGGAGGGAGGGAGTGGGTGAATATGGGTGGGTAGATATGTAGGAGTGCGCGCGCGCGCGCGCGTGTGCGTTTGTGTGTGTGTGTGTGAGAGAGAGAGAGAGAGAGAGAGAGAGAGAGCGAGGGGGAGAGGTGGAGTAAGGGATATATGGGGAGAAAGAGAGATGGGAAGAGAGAGAGACATAGATAGAGAGGAGGGAGTGGATTGCATGTGGGTGGATAGAAGGGGGAGCGCGTGTGTGCGTTGTGTGTGTGTGTGTGAGAGAGAGAGAGAGAGAGAGAGAGAAAGAAAGGGGAGGGCTGGAGTAAGGGGTACATGAGGAAAAGAGAGATGTAGATAGAGGGGAGGGAGTGGATGCATGTGGGTGGGTAGAGGTGGGGGAACGTGTGTGTGTGTGTGTGAGTGTGTTTTTGTGAGAGAGAGAGAGAGAGAAAGAGAAGGGGTGGAGTAAGGGGTATATGGGGAGAAAGAGAGATGGGAGGAGAGTGAGATGTAGATAGAGGGGACGGAGTGGATGCATGCGGGTGGGTAGAAGTGGGGGAACGTGTGTATGTGCGTGTGTGTACGTGAGAGAGAGCGAGGGAGAGGGGTGGAGTAAGGGATATATGGGGAGAAAGAGAGATGGGAGGAGAGAGATAGAGAGAGATGTAGATAGAGTGGAGGGAGATAGAGTGGAGGGAGTGGGTGAATATGGGTGGGTAGAAGTGTGCCGAGAGCGCGCGCGCGTGTGTGTTTGTGTGTGTGTGTGAGAGAGAAAGAGAGAGAGAGGAGAGGGGTGGAGTAAGGGATATGTGGGGAGAAAGAGAGATGGGAGGAGAGAGATAGAGAGAGATGTAGATAGAGTGGAGGGAGTGGGTAAATATGGGTGGGTCAGTGACAATGACAATGACAATGACAATGACAATTTATTCTCATGTCACCCACATTGGGGTATTGGAGAAGTTTACAATCAGTTTGAATTTGTCAATTAAACACTGTGAAATATACAATACAAATATAAATAATGTTAATCCATACAAAATAACACTATCGACAATAGTGAGAAAAATTATGATGATAATGATAATAACAATATTGATGATGATAATAATAATAATAATCAAAAACAAAACGATAATATTAATTAAAACGATAATGAAAGACGAAATTAATGGAAGCAATTGAAAAAATTTCTTTACTGGCACCAGTAAATTGATATCTGAATTAATGAATTACTGAAAATATTCTTGATATCAATTTAATAAATTGATATAAGACAAAAAAGAGAAACATAAAGTTAATATTGAACTCATAACATGTTTTAGCACATACTTAAATTAATGAAAACGAAGCATTATTTTTCGACAGAATTTTACTAAGTTTAAACGTAGAAGTGTGCCGGGAGCGTGCGCGCGCGCGTGTGTGTGTGTTTGTGTGTGTGAGAGAGAGAGAGAGAGCGGAGAGGGGTGGATTAAGGGATATATGGGGAGAAAGAGAGATGGGAGGAGAGAGAGAGAGAGTGGACTGCATGTGGTAGGAAATAAGTAGGGGAGTGCGCACGTGTGTGTGTGTGTGTGTGTATGTTTCCATTGAAGTGCTCAAACCACTTGACTACGACGCATGAGTGTGAACAAAATCTTACACAAGGCATATGAAATAGAAACAATTTCATCTTCGGGATATTCGCAATTACTCACTGTAACAGCAGATCAGCCGTTTAAAACTTGAAAGGATAGCGAGCACTTTCAAAGCAATTAACCTAATACCAATCTTA